TGTCACCAAGTAGGTTACCATCGCAAGTGACCAAAGCTCAATCCCACCAGGAGCTCCTGGAATGGTATAAGATGGGTTTCATAGTTGCCCTGTTTGAGGGCTGAGGGAGTTGGGGTATTCATCAACCAAGTGCCTGCAACTGTTCAGTGTACCCAGGGGGCAGTGCAACCTCTATGACACCTTCAGTGTGTTTCTCTGCAAGCTGAGTGGTTCCAGTAGCTGGAGAAAACCATTAGACAAAGTTTTGCAGGAGCTGCTAGCTGAAAGTCGGGCTAGCCTAAACAGATGTGGGAAGTGCAAAGAGGATGTTTGGGACAGCAAACATACCTGTCAACACAGAGATGAGATAGTGGCTGTACACCAATTTACAGATAAGGACACTGAGGGCAGAAATAGTACTATAACCCTTCTGCTGCTTTTCTTTCTTGCCTTGTATACTAAGGTTGTTGGTGGTCTACTTCCATGGAAGAGACTGAATGGGTGCTCACACAGGCCATGTCTGCTTTCTGGGATGCCAACTAGACTCCATTCCCAGTCTCCCTTGCAGAAGGATGCGGCATATGGCAGAACTGTAGACAGCAGGTAGAAGTAATGTACAGTGTTTCTCTGCCTGGCCTACAAAAACCTTTACATATAGTCGCCCTGCTCTCAATCTTTTGAGCAGGCTAGAATGGAGATGACCCCTATGGCATCCTAGGGAGTCATACCTGATGATAGCAGAGCCACAAGAGAGAAGGAGCCTGGGTTATCATTTAAAGAAGGGCCACTTGGCTAGACTTTTATTGTGTTAAACCACTATGATTTTGGAGATTATTACAGGAACTAGTATCACCTTAAATAATGCAACATCCTATATGGGTGATCAAAAAAACTTGCTATATATCATTTACCATAATTCTGATTTTACACTTATTTATCAACTGTCTACCCCTCGAAGAGGAGAGACTTTGACTTGTGCACTGGTATATTTCCAGCACCTGGCATTCGAAGATGCTCAATAAATACTTGTCAAATGACTAATGCCAATGCCCAACCTTCATTGCACATGGTTTGTGATGGGTCCTATGCTAGGAACTATCTCATTTCATGAGGTATGAACCTATCTCATTTCATTATCACAACAGCCATATGAATAAACTGAAATGTAGGATGATTAACTTATCTAGTGATACCCAGTAGGCAAGTGAGAGAGTCAGGATTGAAATCTGGTCAGCCTGACTAAACCCTCAAACTGTTAAGCCCCTTGCATATTGCCCAACTATGTACACCAGGAGCAGTGCTAGCACAGGTCCTCCTGAGATCAACCCAACAGTTAAGAATTGTCACAGGGTTTGCTAGAGTGGGAAAGACAGACCAGTCTCTGGTCTTCCTAATGGTGCAGAATATCTTCTAGAAAAGTCAAGCTACTCACCCAACCCAACCAAGGGCTCAGCTATGGAACTAGAAAAGCCTCTTACAGATGATGAGAGAACTGAGCCAAGTACATAGAGGTAAACCCAGATTCTCTTTGAACAATTAAGCAGAGGCACTAAGTTCCAGAAAAGAACTGATCTAGCACATCTTAGGAAGAGTTAGGAAGAGAGTTGAGCACAGGGCTGGGTTTAAAGGCCTGGGCTTTTGTGATCAGACAGAGAAAGTTTCTATAAGCTCTATCTCTTACTAACAGCATGACCTAGGCAACCCAACCTAACCTTGCTGGGTTTATTTTCCTCATCTATAGACTGGATGTAATAATGCCTGGCTCTGGTGGCAAAACGATTAGCACAGAGGAGTCAAGTGTGTGCTCAGAAAATGGCGGCTGGCATAGTACCTCTTCTTTGATCTTTATTGTTAGGAGGGGGAATTATCCCCTCTTGGACACTGAGATATAAAGACTGAAATTCTTGGGAATTCTTGGGAATCATGTCAGACCCTTGAACTGGGGCTGAGAGGAAGCTATGCACTCCCCCATCCATTTTTTACCCTTCCCATGTACAGCCACTAGAGGGCCTTGGGCGTCTCTGATTGCCACTTTCGGCTTGTTCAGATGCAGCACCCGAGAGGCCCAGAGGATTTCCAGGGCTCTCTTTTTAGCAAAGGCAAAAGAGCAGTGCCCTGGACGACAGATATCTAGGTGGCTACTGAGCAGTCATATTTACAGGGGCTGCAGGTGAGGCCACAGACATCTTACTCTGCTGTGGGCAGAGCTGGCCCTTGAGCAAATGACCTCCTACCCACGGAGGGACTTATATGGGTTACCGTAGAGCTGGCTTGGGTTGAACGTGATAAAAGTCTCCTTGTCTTATTGGATAACCTGGGCAGTGAGGTCCTGTTGTCTGGGGATCACTCATTAGCGCCCTAGAGCTTTGGAACTGACATGAGCTCATCCTGATAGAGAGAGATAACGATAGCGCAGCACATTTCCAGTGGCATGGAACCATCCTGATGGTATATGGGAGACCAGGATGTTCTCAGCAGGCCAAGAGCCCAGAGCTTCCCCCTGTTCTGAGTTCACCTCATTTTATAACTATTTGTTCATCAGGTTAGCAAGATCTGATGTTAAAAGGCAAGTAGCCCACAGAGGACATTGCTGTTATTCCCTCTGTGGTACAAAAGCCTCTGTTCAATTTGAGAGTTCATGCTCAAGCCTTAACAAAACACCTGAGATAAGGCTCCATCCTCTAAAATTCCAGTTATTAGAAAACACCAAGCACTTTCCTAGTTCCTTGCCTTTATCCAAACTATTTTCTTTCTACAAAACACCCATGATTTCTGCATTATACAATCCCACTCTTTAGAATCAGCAGGTACTTCCCCGATTCCTGACTCTTTTTTTCCTAATGTACTTTCCACTTATCCTTAATGGAACACTTATTGGAGGTCTTGTTCTGTATACTTTTGTCTCTTCTCAGCACTTAATTGAGCTTCTTATATATATTATTCCAGCCTCTGCTGGAATACCTGCTCTGACAGGGAACTCATCACCTTAAAGGCAATGCATTCCCTTGCCAGCCAACTCTTTTCAACAATTTCCCCCCTTATTGGAAACCAAATATTTTTGCCTAATATATGGATCCATTGATTTTCTTCCTACTAGTTAAGTTATAATAAAATTCCCTTAGCTGTGAATAAGGCTTCCCATTCTGTAATCAGACATAGATCTCAGCATAAATATCTTGATGGTGGGCAGCACATTCTAAAGTGTAAATAATTCATTCTAAACTATAAATGACTGATAAAAGCATTTCCATGGTGGGCACCTGTAGTCCCAGCTACTTGGGAGGCTGAGGCAAAAGAATTGCTTAAGCCCGAGAGTTGGAGATTGCTGTGAGCTGTGACACCACAGCACTCTACCGAGGGTGACAAGTGAGACTCTGTCTTAAAAAAAAAAAAAGTGGGGTCAGGATTTCCAAAGACCAGAAATGTAAAGCCACCAAAAATATGATATTGTAGGAAGACCACTGGGCTAGAAAATGAAAGATGGGCCCAAGGTGATTTATGTTTCTGACCTTTGGATTTTCATATCTGGAAAAGGAATATTTTGTATGATGAGTAGTCTACTTGTTACTATCATTGCAGAATTTTGTCTGGAAGTGGCTTTGCTCACCTGCGCTATCTTGAGCCTTTGGTCTGGCTTAGTCTAGGAGGACAAAAAGTTGCACATGTGTCAATGGGCCTCAGTCTTCTGTGGGCCAGGTAGGCTCTCCTGGTGCCCAAGATGCTGTGATTCACACCACCCACAATCATGTCAATTAATGAATTTTTTAATTCCACCTGGGTTGAAATTTCCCCTGCCTCAAAGACTTGCTTTACTAGGGCTATCTACAGTGTTTGTATTATAAATCAAGGATGCAGGTAACATATTTTATAATGATTTTATTATATATTCTCTTTTCCTGGAGTTTTGGAAGTAAAAGATTGCATGAGAATCAACTCTTTATTTCTCCTAAGTTCCACTTACAGAACCAGGTCATATTACAATTGCTTGATGCGTAATACCCAATGACTCAATAAATACTTTACAAAATAATGCAGTTTTTTTCTTTCTTAAAATATAAAAAGAATAAAAAAAATATAAAAAGAATTAGGATTTCTCAGACTTGAGGCCCCCTCCCCTTTTTTGTATCTATTTGTTGGGAATATCTTGGTGAAAATTGTTCAAATGGTATTGAAATAAAATAGGTAAAAGAGGTCCATATATTTCCCCACTTGTTTTGTTTTTTTCCTTTGGAAAAGTGCTATTCCCTGTTTTTGTGTGTGAACTTCCTGCAGTCTTCTGAATCTAAAAGACAGGAGTAGAAATTCTACTCTTCAGGGCCCTTTAGTAGAATCCTAGCATTATGCCATGCTAGTCTTTTATTTTAAAGCCCATTTAAAAGCAGGCTTCACATTTGCCCCTAAAATACCCCCTCTCTACCCAGTTTGAGGCAAGAGAATTTTGGAATCTGAGACTCCAGCAAGGTGCCTTATGACTAAATAGCATTTGGTTTAAAGTGGATGTTTTTTTGATTTGACATTTCTATTGCATTATTTATTTTTTTCATTATTTATTTTTAAAGAAATCATTGCAAAATTCCCTTTTTCTCCCACATTCCTAAGTCCCTTTCTTTCTAAACTCTCACAGAAGTAAATAGTTTCATGATGAGAACTCCAGAGAAAAGGTTACGCTTAAGTCACATTTGTATTAAATAAGTTATATATAAAAACTGCTTATAACGTTTACAGCCTTGGTCTCTTCCCCCCTTTGCCTCTCTTGGAAACGCTGGGCCGCTGTGACTCGAATCACCCACTATGGCTTCCAGGTTCTTCCGCTGGCTTCTTTGTTGTCCTCATCCTCCCGCCTACATCGCCCTGATAGGACTTCTGAGGAGCGCAGTAGGCATCACAGATGGCCGGAGCAGCTCCCCATGGCAGTCACCCGGGCCTGGCGAGCACCCCTAGTGTAACGTATGAAAATACTCATGTGGTATATACAAACAAACACGACCACGGATAAGAAGGGCTCCACGTGAGCAGGCAGATCAGTGCAGCACGTTTGTGTCGCGGAAGCCAAGGTGGCGCGTCACTCCACCTGCTCCAGGCGCTCAGTACTCCCTGGCCTCCTGGAACTGCTTGATGTAGTCCTCGTCCGAAGGGCTCTCTGTGCACTTCTGCCCGTTGTTAGGCGGCCGGGCCTCGTTGTACCTGCTCCAGTCGCCCTTGCAGATGATCCAGGGCAGCACGTCCACTTTGTAGTGCAGCTCGGCAGAGAACTCGGTGCTGATGAGGTTGGGTGTCCCTGCCCCTTTGCCCCTGGTGATGAGCTGCATGTTGTCACCGTAGCAACAGTGCTGGGCGGCCAGCGTGGTGCTCTCCAGGGACAGCATGGAGCGGATGCAGTACCTGGCCGTGGGCTTGTAGATCTCCAGCTTCTCCTTGGGCCCGCTGGCGTCCTTCCAGCGGAAGTCCTTGCGCTTGATGCGGTCGAAGACATCAGCCGTGCTGTAGGCCACCTCGGTGGGGTAGGAGCAAGGGCAGCTGGGCAGGTCGTTGATCACCTTGTGCATGTACTTCTTCAAGAACTCACTTTTGCAGCTCATCCACCGCTCACAGCTGTCCATGTCTGAAAAAGGCCACCACAGAGACACCCTCTTACCACACGCACCACCGCTCCACACTGAGGTCAAATCCCCTCCCAGGCTCAGAGGCCAGTGCAGCTGTCTGGCACAACTGGACACGGATGGGCATTCTCACCTCCCTTGACCTTGGGAACTTCTTTGTTTATAAGACTTGCTCCCACTCCCCACCCCCAGTTTAAAACATTAATAAATATTTTCAAGGCCGGTGTGGTGGCTCATGCCTAAGTCTTAGCACCCTGAGAGGCTGAGGCAAGTGGATTGCTTGAGTTCAAAAGTTCGAGACCAGCCTGAGCAAGAGTGAGACTCTGTCTCTGAAAAATAGCTGGGTGTTATGGTGGGTGCTTATAGTCCCAGCTACTTGGGAGACTGAGGCAAGAGGATCACTTGAGCCCAAAAGAGTTTGAGGTTGCCGTGAGTTGTGACCCCATAGCATTCTACCTGGATGACAAAGTGAGACTCTGTCTCAAAAAAAAAAAAAAAAAATTCGGATACATAAGAAAGTAAAGAGAATATACTTGTATGATGAGTACCCATATTCTGCCCCCTAGATTTAACCATCATTATATTTGCTCCACCTTTTAAAAATTTTTCTGAAAGTATATACTACTACCACTAAATTTTAGTAAGCATCTTCCATAAAAATGGATATTTTCCTATATAACCATAACCTATTATCACTCCTAACAAAATTAATAATTCAGAGGGGTGTTTTAAATTTCCTCTCTAAATAAGTGACATGATGGAAAAGACCTCAAAGAAACATTTGTAGGACTAAGTTTTGTTTCTGCTGCTCATGGAGGGGTTTAAAAATAGGACTAGTCTCCCAACCTCTTAACCTCACTCAGGCAGTAACAATTTCTATCTACAAATTCACAGAGTAAGATGTCTCAAAGAGGAAGGGGCCTCAGGTGCCTGCTTCTAGGGAGGTAGAGGCCAGAGACCTGTAGGCCTAGGTCAGAGCCCAGAAGAGTTGTGTTTGGTTCTTTCAGCATTAAAAAATATTGATAGTTGCTGATATTTAAGAATTAGGCAATTTCACTTATTAATATGGAACCCTGGATTCATTTGAATAATCAAGAGACAGATTTCTGCAGATCCTGTATTCCCTCATGAGAACACCTGGCCCCATGAACAGGTGAACATGACCCCTACTTAGCAAGGGCAGGAGGTCCCCAGTTCAGTACAGCCCCTGACTGATTCCTTCATTCATAGATGACCTCTTGTTCTCTCAGTCTTCTGAGTCTGGGACCTCAGGTTTAATGAATGTCTCAGATCCTGAGCCAAAATGATTCTAGTGAAAATGCTTCTTTGGGAGGTGAATCCAGGAACACCAGCAGGGGGTGGGAAAGTGAGATAGAGAAGGGAGGGAAGCCAGTGTAGGGTTTGGATCAAACAAGTAACCATTGCAAGGAACTGGTTAACCACTGCTGGGCTCTGGGAAACCGTGCAGGGAACACATCTTAGTGTTTCCCCATCCAACAACAGTGTCAAACTTTACCTAAGCCCTGTGATGCTGGAAAATGGCAGAGGTTAAGAATCCCATCTTTCCCACCCTTTGCACTCTAGAAAACAGCTTACTGCCAAGAACCCCTGTCCCCATTAGAACTTGGTTGAGATTCACGAATGCCTCCTTGTGTACCTGCGATAAAGCCAAACACGGACCTTCCAAATTCCCTTTGTTTGCCTCAGAAATCATTAGCTGAACTGTTTGTTTATCCCCGCTGATAGATGAAAGTGGATCTTTATCAAACTTCTCTCCTTTAAGCACCTAAACTTTGCCCTTCCTCAGGCTGAGACAGCAGGCAGTCTGTTTAGAAGGAAACAGGCTGACCTCAGGGTAGAACATTCTCCAACCTGTGTTCATGCCAACCTTTCATCCCACCACCTCTTATTTATTCCTCTATAAAAGGAAACCCTCTTTGCCTAACCTTTGAGGTGCTTACAGACCTTATAGTCACTGTGCTTACTCTATTGTAATAACAGAGGGATAACCCCTCCCCTTTTGAATAAATTCTCTCTGTACTAAGTCTAGATTTGTTTTTACTAGGTGGGGATCTGAGTATTTATCCAAGGATGGGGGCAACTCCTGGGCCTTCAACCCACTGTGCAAGAGTGAGATGGCAAACAAAGAAACACAGATTTCTGGCTCGGTGTCTGTGGCTCAAGTGGCTAAGGT